TTTTTTTTTTTTTTTTTTTTTTTTTTTTTTTTTTTTTTTTTTTTTTTCATCCCGGCTTTCTCCGCGCTCGAATGACCAGTGGGAAACGCTGCAATTCGTGAGAATTTAACCCTTGCTACAAATTAGAGTTTTTGAGTGGTTATAAATGTCGGCAGAAAAACGATGTCAATTTGTCGGGGAGTACAGAGACGAGGCGAACAAAGGATCAATTATCGCTGGCTCGTAATTGCGTCCCACATGAGCGTGTAACAAACATCAGCTAGCCCTTCGTTGATGCGTTATATATTATTTCATTGGTTCACGAGATGATGGCACAACACCAGAAACTTTTATTTAACTTTCCGATTGTTTGAAGAAAAACAATATTTCGTTCTTGTCTTTTAACACGAAAAATAGCAACAATACCTTTTCATCCACTGATCAATCGAAATGCGTCGAAACGATTTTTGGGTAAAAAAAAAAAATTTTTTTAAATCATCGATGCGTACACTGACAGGACGTACTTCATCGTGGCGTCGCGAATGGTGCGGCCGAGCCAGGTCTACCAGATAGCGGTGAACATCCTGCACAGCCCGCTCCCGATAATGGTCCACGCCTCGATCCAGCGAAACGGGGTAGAAATCGCGGCGACCTACCAGGAGATCCAGGAGGGCATACCCGAGAAGCTGATGATGAAGATGCCACCGACTTCGGTGCCCGGTGATTACAGGCTCAGGGTGGACGGCAATTACAACAGCCTCACCGGGGGCCAGGCCTTCTCCAACGACACCCAGCTCGTCTTTAGTCAAAGATCCATGACCATCTTCATTCAGTGCGACAAGCCGGTCTACATGCAGGGACAGACCATTAGGTGCGGATTGTTTTTTTTTCTTCTTCTTCTTCTTCAAATTTATACTTTTAATGTACGTCATCTATTGTTGTTTGCTTAGGGTCCGTACTATACCGATCAACACCGAGCTGAAGGCGTTCGACGGTACGGTCGAGGTGCACATACTGAATCCCCAGGGCCGCATAATGCGCCGCTGGCTCAGTCGGCAGAGCAATCTCGGCTCGGTCTCGCTGTCCTACCAGCTCTCCGACCAGCCGGTCTTTGGCGAGTGGAGGATCAAAGTGATAGCCCAAGGCCAAGTCGAGGAACAGTCGGTCTTTGTCGAGGAGTACTACCAGACGCGCTTCGAGGTCAACGTCACGATGCCGGCCTTCTTCTTCGAGAACGAGCTCTACATACACGGCATCGTACAGGCGAATTACACCTCCGGCGCCCCGGTCAGGGGCAATTTGACCCTCAAGGCGAGCTTCAAGCCGATCAACAAGTACCGGCAGACCAGCGGCACTTTCGAGAACGTGCCCGACCGGTACTTCACCTTCGACGAGTACTACCCGTCCTGGTTCAATCCGTTCGAGCGCTTTCAGGAGTCCGTGCCCGTCCTCAGGTTCTTCAACGGGACCTACAAGTGAGCGAAAACGCACATATCATTGTACACTTCCTCAAACAAATTGTTAACACAAGTTAATTTACGCTTACGCAACACGCAGATTCCGATACCCGATGAGCGATCTCCTGCAGTACGTGCCAACGACGGCTGAGGGCGTCGAGGTGCAAGTCACAGCCACGGTGGGTGAGCACTTCCTCGAGGAGGTCATCGTAGGCTACTCGACGGCACGCATCTACAACTCGAGCGTCAAGATCCACTTTGCGGGTGGCTCACCCCAGGTCTTCAAGCCCGGCATGCCCTTCGACCTGAACCTCGTGGCGTCCTTCCACGACAGCTCGCCCCTGAGGCCCGAGCAGTTACAGGGCGCCCAACTGGAGCTGCGCGGAGACATCGAGACGCGCAGTAGCGGCCGACGCAGCCTGGACTCCCACTCTTTCAAGGTCTCTCCGGATAACGACGCAATCTGGTCTCTCAGGGTGAGAATCCTACATTCCGCTGATACCGCTCTCCTCCTCCCGTTTATCCGTGGTCTCAATTGTGGCTTGTGAAAAAAAACCAGATCGATCTGCGGGAGCAACTGTACCTGCCGAGAAACTCGAGCGATACGCAGCACTTGCTCAACGACATAATAACGATGCGCTTTTTCGCGGATTTCCGTGACGCGGAGGGCCACACGGCCCACGCCGAGCTGTTGATGCTCGCCCACGAGTCTCCCGGCCAGAAGCACATCAAGGTCTGGACGTCGACGGAGAAGGCCACGGTCGGCGAGTACCTCGTCCTCCACGTGCAGACCAACTTTTACATCGAGAGCTTCAACTACCTGATCACGTCCAAGGGCTCGATCGTCCTTACCGGGGACGAGCTCATGCAGCAGACCATCAAGACCTTCGCCGTGCCCCTGTCCTCCGAGATGGCGCCCGTCGCCACCGTCGTCGTTTACTACGTGGGCAGGTACGGCGACGTCGTCGCCGACTCCCTCACTCTCTCCGTGAATGGCATATCGCGCAACAAGTTCACCGTTCTCATAAACAACAAGAAAGCCAGGACCGGCGAGAACGTCGAGGTGCGCCAAACACTCGTCACCGGCACACAGTGCTAATTACTGAGTAGTACCCTAATAAAAAATAAAATAAAACATTTAATCACGCGTGTCCAGGTGGCCATCTACGGCGAGCCAGGCTCTTACGTGGGTCTGTCGGGCATCGACCGGTCGTTCTATTCCATGCAGGCGGGCAACGAGCTCACCTATTCCCACGTCATCGAGAAGATGTCGCACTTTGGCGAGGACACGAACGGCACCCACGCGCACACGTGGATCGACCATTCGGGTGACCCGGACGTCATGCTACTCTTCCCCGCGCCGACTTTCGGCATCGACGTTAACCACACCTTCGAGTACTCAGGCCTCGTCGTCTTCACCGACGCTATCGTCCACCGCCGGCCGGAACACTGCAATCGCACACTCGGCTTTCTCGAGTGCCTCAACGGCAGGTGCTTTAGAGTGGACCAGAAGTGCGACGGGGTGCTCCAGTGCGAGGACGGCACCGACGAGCTACGCTGTCCGACGGTGAGTAGCGCGTACACGTGCGGATCCGATGGATAAACGTGGACGGTACGATATGACGGCCTCGCTCGTGTTACAGCGCAACGCGACGGACATAAGCGAGTTCCGCAAGTGGCGCTTCAACAGAATACAGCGCCAGTACGACAACGTCTGGCTGTGGAAGGACGTGAACATCGGGCCGCACGGCCGGTACATCTTCAACATCGACGTGCCTAAAATACCGGTCCACTGGATGATCACTGCCTTCGGCATGAGCCCGACCAATGGTTTCGGCATGCTGCCTCAAGCGCTCGATTATATGGCCGTGTTGCCGTTCTTCATAAACGTCGAGATGCCGACGCACAGCAAACAAGGCGAACAGGTCGGCATACGCGTCTCGGTCTTCAACTACATGAGACGCCACCTCGAGGCAACGGTCGTTCTCACGGGTGAGCGATTTTTTTTTTTTTTTTTTTTTTCTTTTTTTACAATGCAATTGTGTTGAAACACGCGTTGCGCGGGTGCACATACATAGGGTCCAAGGACTACAAGTTCGTGCACGTGGAGGAAAGCGGCTACGTGGAGGCGTACAAGCCGCGCACATCGTTTGGCGAGCACCAGTTTTTCATCTGGATACCGGCGCAGGACGCGACTGTCGTCTACATACCGATAGTGCCGGTGCGCCTGGGCGAGGTCAAGGTCCACATATACGCGACCTCGTTGATCGGCCAGGACTCGGCGACGCGGACATTGCAAGTCGAGGCAGACGGGCTGCCGCAATACAGGCACCAGTCGATTCTATTGGATCTCAGCAATCGCGCCTACGTCTTCCAGTACATGCACGTCAACATCACCGAGACACCGATCATACCGTACGAGGAGGAGCGCTACTACATCTTTGGCTCGAACAAGGCTACGATCAGGTGAGTTGTTGCCATTTGTTTTTCATCATCTGGAGTCGTGACAAAGAAATCAGGTGGACAAGGAAAAATAATACCTTTTTGCCACCATCGTCATATGGTCAGCTTGGTCGGCGACGTGGTGGGCCCGATATTCCCAACAATGCCGGTCAACTCGACGAGCTTGATTCACCTGCCGATGGACTGCGCCGAGCAGAACATGTTCAGCTTCGCGGCCAACATGTACATGACCCTGCACATGCGCCTGATCAACCAGCGCAACTTCAGCCAGGAGTCGGAGAGCTTTTACTACATGAACATCGGCTACCAGCGCCAGCTGTCCTTTATGAATCCGGACGGCTCGTTTTCCTTGTTCCGCAGCGACTGGAACCAGTCGTCACCGAGCGTCTGGTTGACCGCGTACTGCGTTCGCATATTCCAGGAGGCGAGCTTCTACGAGTGGGAGAACTACTTGTACATCGATCCCAAGGTGATAGTCCAGTCGGTGACGTGGTTGCTGGAACACCAGACGCCCGAGGGCTCGTTCTATGAGGTCAGCTGGTTGCCCGACCGCAAAATGAACAGTACCCTCAATTACGACGACGAGGACGGGTACTCGTTCAAGCCCAGGAACATATCGCTCACGGCGCACGTGCTCATTACCCTCGAGGCGGTCAAGGACTTGACCGAGGGCCTCGGTGTCAGGGTGGCTCAAGCCGCTGCCAACGCCGTGAGGTGGCTCGAGAAAAACCTACAGCTGTTGGAACAGAAGGGTCGACCTTACGAGGTGGCGATCGTGGCGTACGCTCTGGCCCAGGCCAAGGCGACCACGGCCGAGCAGGCCTTCAACCTCTTGCGCCTGCATCGTCGCGAGGAGGGCGGTCTAGTCTACTGGGGTCGTCAAATGGTGCCCCAGCCACCCACGAAGACGGAGAATCAGAAGCCTTTCTCCCTGCCTCGGTTACCGTACGAGTACGACTCGGAGAACATCGAGACGACGGCTTACGCGCTGCTGGTCCACGTGGCGAGGCAAAAGTACGAGAACGAGCCGATCGTCAAGTGGCTGAACTCGCAGAGGCTAACCGACAGCGGCTGGGCCTCGACGCAGGATACCGCCTGGGCCATGAAGGCCCTTATGGAGTACACCTCGGGCGCCCGGCTCCGGGACGTCAATCAGCTGTCCGTTACGGTTGAGGCCACCGCTCTGCCCGGCCAAAGCAGAATGCTCTACGTCAACAACAAGAACCTCGCCAAACTGCAGACTCTCGAGGTGAGCTGTTGTTTCTTCCTTCCTCCCTTGTCCTCTTACTTAATTTGAGAAACAATGAATTGCTTTTAATCTTAGATTCCTGAGGCGTGGGGAACAGTAAAGGTCCAGGCAAAGGGCGCGGGCTACGCGATCCTGCAGATGCACGTGCAGTACAACGTCGACATCAAGAGGTTCCAGACGCAGCCGCCCATACGGGCCTTCGATATCCACACTTACGCCAACTTCCACGGGAGAAATCAGTCTCACATATCGTACTTGAGTTGTCAAAGGTGGTGGCGCAGTGCTGACGTTTACTTTCTCGAGCAGTACAGACGAGAAAACAAAAACCTTCAACCGTGCGTTGTACCCTTTCAGATGGATTAACCTGAACGAGTCGCAGCGCTCCGGCATGGCGGTGTTGGACGTGACGATACCCACGGGCTACATAATCCAGCAGCAGGTCCTCGACAGCTACATACTGTCGCGACAGGTGAGGAATCTCCAGCGAGCGCGCTTCCAGCCGTCCAAGGTGCTCTTCTACTTTGACTACCTCGACCAGGAAGAGACCTGCGTCAACTTTACCATCGAGCGCTGGTACCCGATCGCCAACATGTCCAGGTATCTCCCCATCAGGATCTACGACTACTATGCACCAGGTAAGAATTCGTATGAATGTATTATATGTATATGTACCATCGTGTACAGTTTATGAAATGCGTGTAAACTGTAAAACTGATCTGGTGATTGAACGGCCACAAAAATATGCTTGCAGAACGTTTCAACGAAACAATGTTCGACGCACTGCCAACGTATCTTTTGAACATATGCGAGGTGTGCGGGAGCAGCCAGTGCCCGTACTGTCCGATCTTCAACGCGGCGATGCTACTGGCGTCGCCGGGCTACTTCGCCGTTACCCTGTCGATCCTAGTCACCGTCATCCGGTACTTCAAGACGCAAAGACTGGAGTTCGGCTAATAGGTCTCCTGTGTTGTGCTATAAGCTCTCCAAAGTAACGAGTATTCAACGAATACCCAGCTCTGCTAAGGATTTATACATATGTCGTAATGGCTCGCAGATGGAGAAACTAGTTGAGCGTGGCAGAGATAGACTGTTGATTTTTTACAAACTTTATCATACTTACAGTTTTTTTTTTTTTTTTTTTTTTTTTTTTTTTCTGCAACAGTGTTTGAATATGGAGTGCTTTAAGGTTGGAATATTATATAAGGATGCGATTTGTTGTTCGGGCGATAAATATGTGTCGCTGTACCGTCGTTGCCTTAGTGAGTGTTCACCAGAATTTTTCTATATACTTATGGTTATTAGCGTAGAAAAGTTGAATGTGGACTTCATCAAAGAATATAGATCTAGATTGTGAAAATCAATGACTAACAGTTTTAAGATTTTAGTATTTACTTGATCTTTTTTCATTTAATTTAAAAAAAAAAAAAAAAAAAAAAAAAAAAAACAACATTTTGATCAATAGCAAGTTTTTTGCAGAAAGAGGTTGAGTTTTGGAAGTCTTGCATTACTGTGAGAAATTTTTTTTACACGAGTTTTTATAATATTTGGTAATGAAGGATCAACAAAATTGTACAGAGATATTTGTACAAATTTTCTTAGAGACAATATGTAGCATATCAAGTACAAAAAATGCAAGCTTTCACTAGTTAATAAGAACGTGTATTGAATGCACTCTAAAACTTATGACTCATTTTCATACTTTTGAACTACGTTATGCAATCTGAGCTTCTGAAAATACATCATCGTGATAGGTAATCATAACTTATGCTCAACATTTTAACACAAAATACGATGAACTATAAGAGTATTGCAATTCAATTATGTGTTTGCGTTTTTTAAATATCAATTTCCGTCCAATCATAGATTATAAAGTTTAGGGTTCATCGGATGTGCCTACCTAAAAGTTAAAAATTAAATATGAGATTTGTTATTATAAAATAATTTTTATTATAATTATATATTGTGTTGAAATTTGCTGATGATGAACCCTAGTAAGATAATGCCGTCCACGCGCAATAAAACATTTTTTAATAGTATATTTTGTATTTTTTTACTCATTATCGTTGCGTTATTGTTACGCATTATAAATGATTATTGAATTTTATTCGAAAAAAAAAAGAAAAAAAAAAAAAAAACAAGAATCTCTTTTAAAGACATATAGGTAATATCTATGGCAACATTACGTTTCAAAAATGTAAACACCGTCCGCCAAAGATACTATCGCTATTGCGATTAGAATCGTAACAAAAAATGTATACCATGCATTGTTAGTGTAAAAAAACTGTAATGCTATTTATTTACATGGCTTATTCTACGTCCGCGCGACACTTTCCCATTTTGATACTAAATGTATTATGTTGTCGTTAAGATTATCAAAACATTTTTCTCATATTTACAAATTAGTTCATTGCACACTGCTGATTAGTTATTTTTGCTGTAACGGTAAAAATAACGTTTTTGACATGTTATATAAATTTTTCAAGTTTTATAACATTTGTATGAATAAATATATAAAAAATGTATTACATAGATATTGTGTACTGAATCCTTACCACTTTACAACCAATCGAACATTATTTTAATAAAATATATGAAACAGTGTTACTGCTTGTGACCTATGTGTATGGCCACTGTTCCAAATGTTAAATTCTCATAGGTCACTCTTTTGAATCCAGCATCAGTGATCATTTGCTGAAAAAATGATTTACAATAATTCAAGTATTACCTATATCCACGTGTTTCAATACTACAACAGTACATGCTAAATAACTCACTTTAAACTCTTCTTGTTTCGGAAATTTCCTAATACTTTCTACGAGATATTGATAAGGCTGCCACTGACCAGCAATAAGCGTTCCCAACACTGGAATCACTTGAAAAGAATATTGATCATATGCCCTGAAAATTGATATGAGAATTATTCAAACAGTTACAGTTATTAAATTGTTTTTCAGGCAGTTTGTTCAATGTGTTTATACTTACCACCTCAGTAAATCATTATCAACATAACTAAATTCTAGGCACAAAAATTTACCACCCGGTTTCAATACTCGGTAGGCTTCAGATAAAGCCTAAAAATTGAACACAAGTAAAAAAAATCCATGAAATATGCCTATTGCAATTGAAAAATTACAACACACCTTATCTACCCTAGTCGTGTTTCTTATGCCAAAGGCAATAGTGTATGCAGTATAAGTATCGTTGTCGAAAGGTAGATGCTCCGCGTTTCCTTGAACCCATTCAATATCGTAGCCCTTTTCCTTCGTGAAACCTTGTCGCTTGGCTCTGGCTCGCCCAACATCCAGCATATTGGCATTGATGTCACATATAGTTACATGACTTTTGATGGCTTTGGGATTGCATTTGTTCTGCAAATACTTTAGATAACGAAACGTGATGTCTCCTGTTCCCCCCGCACAATCGATGAGCTTACAACCGTGTTCAGGTGCAAGTCTTTCCACGAAACAATCTTTCCAAAGTCTGTGAATTCCAAAGCTCATTGCATCGTTCATTTGATCGTAAGAATTTGCCACATTTTCAAACACCGAGTAAACTGTCAAATAAAAAAAAAAGGTAAAAATTAAACGATCACGTCGTAACATCAATGTACGCTTTTTCATGAATCAATTTACCTTCTTTGACTTTTTCAGATTCTTTAACTGTTTTGAATCCAAAATGTGTTGTCTTATCATCGATGCTTGGCTCAGCATCGTATTTATTGAAATGACAACAACTTTTGTTAGAAAATCGTTTCTTCAATGTATTACAAACTTGTAATAATAAATATCGACACGGAGTCCTTAAATTCATTTTTGTTAAAATATCAAATGTCACATGTGTCGATGTGTCTATAATGACCTATACTGACAGTATACTTCCAGACTCCATGTAATCTCACCCTTACAGCCTCTGATTTTATTATTCTGGTAAATAGAGCACGGTGTAAGACATACGTCAAGATATGGTGTAGTAATCTAGTAATTATAGTAATCACTACTAGGTAAGTGTAAGTAGTAGTGCCATTTGGTCGATTTTATTAAACCATATAAGTAGAAGATTTGTACTTTTAGAGGTCGATTTTCGGATAAAAAGTAAATTGTAAACTTGCCGCACTTAGCACAAAGATCGTTAACTTTTTATTGTTTATCTACAACATTAGTTGCGGCTGGTTTATAATTGATTAAATGGCTCTACTGTAAGTATAGTTGTAGTAATAATTTATTTAATCAGCGCCATCTAGCGTTGCGGATTTCTGAAGTAAAAAGTAGCCCTAAAATTCTCAAGGAGAGTTTTACGCATTTTAGGCTCTAGAGCAATTTAGTTAGTTATAATTCAGCCGCCACTACTCTCACAGATGTAAAATAAAAATTAGACGTAGTTTGTGCTATTTGCGGCAAGTTTGCAATTTATCTATTACTCGAAAGTATAAATATATAAAAGATCAATATTTGTGTGGAAGATAAATTGCAAGCTTGCCGCAAATACAGCGTTTAATTTTAATTTTACATCTGTGAGAGTAGTGGCGGCTGAATTATAACTAACTAAATTGCTCTAGAGCCTAAAATGCGTAAAACTCTCCTTGAGAATTTTAGGGCTACTTTTTACTTCAGAAATCCGCAACGCTAGATGGCGCTGATTAAATAAATTATTACTATACTTATAGTAGAGCCATTTATTCAATTATAAACCAGCCGCAACTAATTTTGTAGATAAAAAATAAAAAGATAAGTTTCACTCAGTGCTATTTGCGGCAAGTTTACTATTTGCTTTTTACCCGAAAGTATAAATATATCGGAGGTCGATTTTTGGGTAAAAGATAAGTTATAAACTTTATTGGAAAAATGGACAGTGCATCAAAAGTTGAATACCTTATTGTCAACACAAGTGCGTTTATCAAAAATGCAGCTTTGCAGGTGATTGTTTGCAACGTATTTTAGCTTGTTTCTTACATATACTCTGATGTATAGAGCTGTATAGAAATTTACTATTTAATTGACGTTTTAATGTTTCTTTTACTGTAAAGAACAATTAATATTCCACGTATAAATGTTTGCAGGATATTGGTAATAAAATCATCACTGAGCCTGGTGTTGTCAATGATATAATAAGTTAAAGACAGCTTAGGAGATTGGTAGTGCTTCCATATGATCTGGAGGTCAAAGAAGCCAACCGAGAAGATATAAAATTTGGTAATTATTACTTTTTGAATTCAGGGATCGTTTAAAGCGATGATTTTATTATTATTTTTTTTATTTAAGTTACTACATTCTCGAAAAAGACTGGTGATTATCCAAGTCTCTCTGTGACTGATGTCAAAGTCATTGCTCTAACTTTGCGGTACGAAAAAGAAAGAGTTGGCTCAGATCACTTGAGGAAAGAGCCATTGGTCTCAAGCATTTGCTGCAAAAATTTTCGTAGTTTTAATACAAAATTATAAGGGTGAGATCATAAGGGCCAGACTCCATGTAATCTTACCCTAAGTATGTAGCGCATTAATACACAATTCTGCTTATTCCAGCTTATACTACCCTCATTCCCGTAATTGTATAATTCTTTGATCTTATCGCATTTGCATGGAAAGGCCCAAAACGTACATAGAAAAAATTAAAATTTTGTGAAATCAAAAAGTGAGATAAAATCACTATTTATCTAAAATATAAAGTACGTATGTTAATCCGTAACATCCGAAAGACAAGGATCAAAGGGCCGAGGGAGAAATTGACCAAATCGATTTATTTTTGTTTTTTTATACAAACAATACTTTATTCAGTTCTTACACAATGAAAAAAATTTTTTTTAAATTATTTAATGCTATGTATAAATGGGAGAAACAAAAAAAAAAAATATTAAAACAATGTACTTGAATTAAAATCATACAATTGTAAAACAAACTATTTGTCATTGTCAAAATAAACGTGTCGCATCAAAGTATTGTTCAACTTCGTAAAATTTAATTTATAAGTATTTGTACTTAAATTTAAAAACTATAAAATGCGACTTGTACAAAAAGTTTTTACCTCTATTTTTCGGTCAAGAAATATTTACATACACACTAGGTATTTTGATACGTAGTTTTTCCTCACATAAAACTATCTTGACATGTAATATCTTATTAATCTAACCATAAACTTATTCAAGAAAACTTCTGTTGATTTTTTATTTCACAAATACGTAAAAATAACACGCTGGCTCTTACATATCAGATAATTCTTCCATGTAATCAGATGTTGGCATAACTTCTTTAGTTTCGTATGTTCCACTTTTTCTGTTTTGGAACCAAAAAGACAAAACAAGGGCTAACATAAAAACTGCAAGCCCAACAGCAATACTCCAGTATATCATTTTGGCTTCTCTTTGCCGAATTTTTTTTTGAGCTAGCAGTTTTGTCTCACATTTTTCTCGCAGGGCGAGCGTGTGGTCAAATAACATATCAACGTTTGTGCATCCATTCTGGCCTTGACAATTCAGTGGAGTAGTCACAGTTACCTGTATAAGGTGATAATAAAAAGTATATCAGATTAAAAAAAACCTAAAGATAATTCATTGAGTAATTTACCAAAATTCTTTCAACTCACTTTTATGTTCCACTTCGAAAGCAGTTTTTCGATTATGTGACAGCTACAGCCACTGTCGTTAAAAATATCTTCGTTCACGATGAGCTCTTTCAAAGAGCACATCGTGGCCAGCTCTTCGACTTTTATCGTTTTTATTGGATTTCCAGTTAAATTTAAGAGAACGACATGGAATAAGGACAGTTGTGGCACGCGAGTGAGTTTATTAACGCTCAAGTCTAAATATTCTATAGGAGAAGTTACATTTAAGGACTTAAAACTAGTGTCGGTTATTTCGTTATGATCCAAATATAGTTTCCGTAATTTAGGGAGATAAAAAATGTTCTGTGGTAAGTCCCTGATAAGATTGTTGGATAAATCTAAAATTTCTAATTGTGTTGAGGAAGAAAATGTTGTATGATCTATTATTAGCAAGCCAGTAGTTTGAAGGTAAATTTCTTTCAAAAAGGGGTACCACTTTATTGAATCGTTTACTAATTGCGGTATCGTATTATGCCGCGCATCCAAAATCTAAGAGACAAAACAGAAACGTTATTCGTAAAGGGGGGAGAAAGTACCGAGACATGCCATAGTTGCGGCATGTTCCAAGAAATACGTACCTCAATGTCTTTGATCAGATCTTCAGGTATACGTTTTAATCCTTGATTAAAACAGTCAGCTCTTAAGGAACCTTTTTTTTTTACATGCCTACACCTTGATTCGGCTTGAAGAAATATTAAGCTAATACCAAGAAGTATTAAACTCATCTCTGAAAAAAAGTGCTTAGATAAAAAAAATCACAAATTTTAAAAAAATCAAGGCAAGCAGAATCCTTTCATATTCATATAAATTAATTTGACACTGAGCCTTGCACACGTTTTTGTGTGACGCGCAATTTTATCATTTAAAGGGCCCATTTCAAATTCGTAAAAGAACCGTTAAAACAACGATCAACTTCTTCGTCGTTGTTGAGTTTAGTCTTTTCAAAAATGCACGTGCTTGGGACATAATAAATGTTAACAATCGGAATATGCTTGTATTAATCCCATGAGGGCAATAAAACTATAAAAGTAAGCAGCCGTTTCTCTCTCTAAGCAGTACTTTTCCGAGCGCGTGCGTGATTTAAGTTTAACTTCGAAAAGTTGTAAATTCTGTGTTGTTGGAAATATGCTTGAGAAAATTCAAATCTCATGAATGGGAAAATCTTCAAAATCAAATTTGAAACGTAAAACGTAAAATTTCTTAAAACGTAAAACTTACTTGTGACTGACATTATTATAATGGCGTTTGTAATGCCCCGCAGCCGGATGATTTAACAGTGTGAAAACACTTCAGCTCTTACTTTAACTTTCTGTTGTCAATTATTCTACAACAAAACGTCATCTGGAACGTATTTAAAAATTATATTAATATTGCCTTAAGCCTATACTTAACATAATAAATACGAATTATAAAGTATAAAAACGCTAGGTACCGAGATTGAAGTTCAAGAATGCACGCGACACATCTACCCTTAGATTAGCTACACTATTTATCATTGAAAGGACTGCCTGTACCGCCTGCTGTCTATTGACTGGAACTAGAAGATCTGGAAGTGCTAATGGAACTGTGCGAACTGCAAACTCCAAAGGATGCCGGTGTAGTGTTCGCAACTTGAAAAGTCGCAAGTCGAAACGCTCACCGTAGCACCGCAGCTTAACCATCGCTAGATGGCCCATCGGCTATTATTGTAGCCAAAGGCACACCTTTCGGCTCTCACTCTCTCCACAGGGTCCTGATTCACTAACTTGAGTCACTACTGAGAAAGACGGATTGGAAAGTTTTTATTAACCAGAGGGCTCCTTTAGCTTGAAAGAAGTCCCTTGATTGGTCAAACCTTTCTGATATGCTTTTTCACACAGGGAGTTAGTGGAGCAGTCCCCAGCCTGACATTCCAGATCTCAAGACTACATCGCGGAAAACCAAGGAAAACTTCCACTTTGAGTTTGACAACCTAAATGTTTATCTATAGGTTTAAGAGTACTCAAATTACGGTCACTAATCATCGCATCCCACCAGAGAATTTTCATCTTCTGCATTCTCATCAATGGCAATTTCTTTAATTCTAGGAACCATTTTTTTTATTTTTTAGGAGTAAGTTGCTTATCTAGTAATATTTTTTTTCGAAATTAATACACTAGAGGATAATTATTTCTGTGAAGCTGCCAACGTTTACATTTAATGTATCTGATTCTTTTTTTTTTTTAATTACTGTCGTTATAGTTTTTTAACTATCACTTAAACATAAGATTACATGACTTATTTTATTGGTCCATTGTTCTTCATCAAAGTTTCCACAGCATCTATCTTTTTACGCTTCTTCTTAAAGTAACTATCTTTCATGTGCTTAGGGACTTTAAAGTAGCTAAGATCAAGTTTTGTGAATGTAGTGACAGTGAAGATTTGATTGATTTGTTTTGATTGGCAGGCATTTATTTTCAAAGGCCCTAAAGTGAAAAAAAAAAAAAAAATCATTAGATATGAACAATTAGAATTAATCCAAAAAACACTGGTGAACAAGAGATATTAGGTATACTTTAAAATCAAAAAGCACTTAAAACTATTGACTTTGACTGTACCATATTAAGAAAACTATACAACGACGATTATCTTACTAGTTACAAGATGAAGACAATTGCCCTTATGTTTATAAGAAAAAAAAATAAAATCAGTTATTTCAGTACAGTTTACTTGAAGGTGTCCTTTGTGATCCTTGAAGTAATTTTTCAGGCGGGTGAGACATGATAAAATCTGTGATTGATAATTTGCCTTCCTCTTTTCAAGCAAAACAGCCCTGGTGTCTCCATTTTTCTCACCATCGATAGCCTTGACGACTGTGCTGAGCTTCTCGGGGACAACCTGTACAAACAAAGTTTCAATAAGGAACTGCAAAACAACTTGTCTAAAAGGTCTTCAAACATTTATTGAGATTAAAAACGTTATGTGGAGTTTACCTTCTAGGGTGTCTTCTTGTCAAGAAACGTATAGATAGCTTTTTTGTGGAACATGCGAGTTCTGCTGAACCTGTAGACTCCATTCCCCAAACTGCAGTTCCTGGGCTTGCCAACTTTTTTTTAGGCTTAGCTGTGGGTGCAGCTGCCTTTACCTCCTTTGCCTTGGTATCAGCCATCTAGAATTTAGATCATGCTGATTAGTGTGGGTAGATGTGCAGCTAACAGCAGTACTTATTTGTCAGAAGTTTTGTGAAACTCTTGTGTACACAATTGCACAGTGTGTGAAGTCGCGTAATAGGTTAGATCGAGAAAATTAACAACAGAAAATTTGTGTCAATAGACAAACGAAAATGCAACACGGACTAAAAACAAGGAATAAGAAATAATGTACACTAGTTGCGATAAATAGCAGGATCTGCCGTAATAAAATAAAAAATCAAAAGCGTCAACCGGCCACTGACCGCAGTGACCAGTTGCAGACAGATGGACATCCGCCGCCTATGGAGAAGACACCTACAAGAAATCTTTAGACAAAATGTGTGCTGGGTGTATGCAATATGTATGGTGTAAAATATATTGACAAAACTGTATACGTACCTGAAAATGACGTATTTCTTCTTGAATCATACTGCAGAAAAATGGAACGATATGGAGCAAGTGAAAGAGAGAAAGCGTATTTCAACGTGCGAGCACCCGGAGTGTTACTACCATTTCTTTCTTGATGGTTACATCGGCTTTTGAGAGTACTAATTACACTGAGAGTTTTTTTAAGTCCCATTGCGCTAATTGTTGTTGCTCAATTCAATTCTGACTTTAGTGGCGTCTGCTTCTGCTCTATATGTGTATGTGCATGTGTGTGTGTGGATTGTTAAATTTGTGTGCAGTGGGCCAGCGGGCGACTGGGCGTATTGCAATTTGCAATGCGTTCTGGCGTTATTCTCAAATTTGATTATAAGTATTGGAATGTATTCATTTATATTTACTTATTTAGCAACCCAAAGAGTTAAAACAATTAATTTCATGTTTAATGTTTAGCAACACAGAGTGCATGTGTGAATATATGAAAGTGTCAATTCCATTGCTCCAACCAATCGCAAGTCTGCTTTAGCCTAATTTGTGTGATATTGTGAAATTGTATGAGATTGTGATACATATGCATACATAAACAACGTAAACATTCCAAATGAATCAGTATGTATAAGGCTAGTGCACTTTTGCAGTGTGTAATCATGGATCGGTGTTCCTATACACCGACGCCGGCAGCCAGCATCAGCAGCAGATCCGCAGATATGTGGTGGTGATGATATAGAGTATTATCATTCACACCCACCCCCTAACACCATGCTTTTATCACTGATGCAGTCCAGCAGCGACTCAGGATAACTCCAGTTTTTTACTGTTTACTATGCTTATTGTATAGCAGCGATTGTCAGGAAGTTGAAGAAGCTGCTCCGTGAGGGATAAGGTAGCATCGAAATATGGCTGAGGAAAACGGATCGAACTCGGACGTTGGCTCCCAGGAAAACCTGACTGCCGAACTTTTGAATCTGGAGATCGAGGAGGTGAGTTATTGCTATTGCAATTTGCAAAGGAGTAGTTTTGTTGTTTGACAGATAACATCAATCACACATAAAACTCTGTTGTTTAAAGCTGGACGATGCCGAGTACGCGATTCCTGCTGTGGACAAGCTTCCTTCACTGGAGAGCATACTGGCAGAGCCTGACTGTGGCTCTCTGTCTGGGACAGACGATGACATGGGTGCACCCTCTCTTGAGAAATTGTCCACCAGTGAGACCGTCAGCGTGGGTAGTTTGTTGTCTCTCAATTCGCCAAGTAGACCAAAGTCACGCCAACCACCTCATTCTGGAGTTATTCTCAGGCATCTCATGTTGAAGGGATGCTGTGCCCAGATTGCTTCTGCTAGTGTAAGTGTTGATTGTTCTGCTGTACGGGCTTATTCATCCTTACTTTTAAAATACTAGTTGTGTAAAATTATTATTATTATTTTTATTATTATTTTTTTTTTTAGTACCAACATTTGTTGGTATGTGAAATGTATTGAATAATACTATGATTTTATTGAAAACAGGAAAAAATCAATGCTGGTCTAGCAAGTGCTGTAGCAGCTGGCTTGAATATGATAGCCATTGGAACCAGTCACGGGCTAGTACTGGGCTTTGATTCTGGACAAACTTTAAGGTGGTGTTACAGAGATACAAAGCACCAAGGCTCCATTTCAGCTCTCGGTTTTAATCATGATGGGACAAGAGTTCTGGCAGGCTTTGCCAAAGGATACATCCTCATGATTGACAGCTCCGATGGCAAAATACTTAGAACTCTTACAGACGTTCATCCTCCAGGAACTGCAGTTCTGCATGTCAAAGTAATTCTCATGACTTTGAATCCAATAAAACACTTGAAACATTGAACTTTTTTTCATCCTTGCCTTCTCTTTTGATTTACAGTTTACAGATTCTCCAAAGTTAGCTCTATGCAGCGACAGTGGTGGTTCAGTGTTTGAACTGACCTTCACAAGAACAATGGGTATGAGAGGTTGCGATAGCAAATGCTTATTTAGCGGTTCTAGAGGGGAAGTTTGTACCCTGGAACCTTTGCTGTTGAATGAACTACCTGTCCATCCCTTAAAAAATTATACGCTCGTCGCGATGGCTACGTTATCCAAGGTCCTCGTCGTGTGCATTCGTCCCAGGATGCGCGTCGTTTTAACGCATCCCTTGAGCGGCATGGCTATAGCTCCACCACAGGTCGCTTGGCAATTGGTGGCCGTTAGGTCAGTCAATGCTACGAGAATCATCGATCCCGTGCTCGCACTCGGCAGAGACAGCGTCGTAAACTTTTATCAGGTAAGCATCGTCGCTCAAGTATATTATCCAATCACGGAAAAATAAATAAAAGAAAAAATCATTTTTTACATAACAAGGTATGCAGCGAGGCAGGGATGCGAGTGCGCTTGATACCCTTGAGGCGCATTGTTTTGACGTACACTATGAGCTGTCTACGCTGGATGAACTCGCATTCCTTAGCTGTGCTGGATATACAGGAAAAGATGCATTTACTTGACGTGCGAAGCCAAGAAAACCTCGAGACGCTGGATGTCAGCAACGTTAGTTTGTCATACGCTTCCAGTCACTTTAAGGGTCTTTCCACGGGCGGCAACGTGTCTAAAGCCATGGCCTTGGCCGGTGAACGAGCTTGCTACAACACGGTGGTGAATTTCGGCTCGTCGCTCTTGCTGCTTGGAATGAAAAGCTTGCACACGATTTGCGTGAGAACTTGGACCGAGAGATTGAGGCATTTAACACTGCAGGTAACAAACACGTGAGTTTTCTCGTTTAATTTTTTTTTTTGTTTTTCGTCATATAAATAATTTCACGCGAATCTTAAATACCCGCAGAAGCGATACCGGGAAGCGTTGGAGCTTGGACTTGACTTCTATCGCGATAAGGGAAAAGCTGTTGTCGGATTACACGGCTCGAAGCAGCGACGCAAGCAAATAGTTCAAGATAAGGTGTGTCAGGTATTGTTGCGCTTTATGGAAGAGCTGCCTCAAGCGAGCGTTGTAGGAGCCGAGTCAAATGACAACAGCAATGTCGAGCTTGAGATTGTCTCGACTTGCGTCGAGTATTGCATACAGCTCGAGTGTACCGAGCTCCTGTTTGGCAAACTTTGGGATCTGGTATCCGAATCCGAAGGTTTGAGGACGGCGTATCTGCGTGCCCTTGAATCCCCACTGATGGATGGCAGTCTGTCGCCTCAGCTACCACCTTTTATAGCTCAGCAATTGGTTGCGCTTTATAATCAAGAGGACCGGCTGGATTCGTTGCAGGCTATCATCATTCTCCTGAACGTTGATTGTCTCGACTTTCATCAAGTGAGTATTTCGTGTTCAAAAAATCAGTGATGATTCTTCAATTGATGACGACCATCGAATTAACAGGTGACTAAAATTTGTGACGAACGTGGTTTGTGGGAAGCGCTGATACATTTACAGACGGCGGCTCTGGCCGACTACACGGCACCAATACACCAACTGGTGCCAGTGTTGCAGAAACATTTAATTGACAATTCCACCAGCGAACAGCCCTGGGATTGCATCAATCTTGGCAATGCACTCCTCGTCTATGCCAGTTGTTGTTTAACGGGTCGGCAGTTTCCACGTAAAAGCGAGTTGCCAGAAGGATTGCCGCGCAAAGTCAAAGCCGACGTTCTTAGGGCTTTATTATCGATACACTCGAGCCGTGCAAGCGACGTTGAACGACAGTATCCTTATCTCAGGACTTTGTTGAGGTTTGTTTAACTTTTCTTTTCTTTTTTTTTACGCTACATTTGTTTCTGGTAAAATGTAATTCTCGTTTTGACTGATAGATTTGATGCTAAGGGCTTTCTTGACGCTTTGGCGATGGCCTTTCAAGAACCTGAGTTCACGTCAGAGATGGGTCTGCGACAGCGACAACGGGTCGTTGACATTCTCTTTAACATCGTCACAGCGAATACGCCTCTTGGTTCTGAGAATTTGGATTGCTTGACAGATGAGCAAAAAATATTTGTCCTAGCATTCATCGTGGATGAGGTTGTCGAGTGCACCGTAAATCTTGAATCGAGTTCTTTGCACAAGGTCATTGAAATGTTGTGCATTGAAACGAGTGATAATCACAAGACGAGACGAGAAAGTGCCATTCTCAAACTTTTGCACAACAACAAGCTGGGTGGCATTCCAGAAACGAAACTCCTGGATTTGATGCGCAGAGCTAATTTGTAGGTTTCTGTGATATTTTTATTGTTTGTACTGAAAAGCTTTCGTATTCAGCGATTCGTTTGCCTCAACTAAAATACTATCGATTTTTTTGCAGCTTGCATGTTTTGGAACAGTTACATTCAAACCGAGGCGATTGGGAATCAGTCTGCGAATGCATGATAGCCGATCCTGCACGACATTCCGAAGTGATACCACTGCTTCAGCAACTGCCAACTATACAAATCGATGACATTGCCAAGATGCACGCGAGTGACCTTGTAAATATCGATGTATCTGGTTTTGCTGGCGTTATTGTTTCTCGTTTACCTGATCAGATTAGCAATATTTTGGAGTGCCTCAAGGACGAGCCAAAATATGAATACGCACTCTTATCCGCGTTATTTGGCTGTGCTGATAACAAGGAGCCAGAGCAAAGAGTTGTTTATGATAAAAGTAAGGAGGAGACTGATAAACCAAGTTTGAATAACATTGCAAAACCAGAGCTACCGCAGTTAGCTCTGGAGAGGTTTCTACAACTCATGTGCGATATTGAACCTGATAGGGTAAGCTTTAGTGACCAGCTTAATTTAATTTTTTTTTTCTTTAAACAAGAATTAATAAAACATGTTTTTAAATGATCTAGGTCATGAGACATCTCCAAGAGTCTCACGGGTGTCAGCCAGAACGTGTTCAGCAAATTGTGCAGGAAGTGAATCGCAGGGACGCGCAAGCTCTGCTTCTCGAGCAATCGGGTAACTATCAGGATGCCTTTGATCTTCTGCTTGGTCAACTTAATGAGATAACTAGTGTGGTAAGAAATGATGTGAACTTATACGTAGCCAAATACAATACTCTGTATGATCTGTTTCAAAGTGAATTAAGCAAAAAAAAGGAGTTTATTGTTATATCTACATTCTCTCCTTCTTTTTTTTTTCAGAGTACACAAGATGAATCGAAGGAAGATGACGCCATTCAAGTAACGTCACAATTGTCCAGCATGTGCAGAAGATCAGCGGGCATACTTGATTGGCTACCACTTGTTAATGCGGTACTGAACTTGCAACGATTTTCCAACAATGATCAAAAAAGTAAGGTGAAAGTACGAAAGTGTGGTTAATAAAAACATTGTTATCAAAGTATATTTCATTATAGTAAATTCTTACTTTTAGATAAAAAACTGTTGGGCGAAAAACTATTGAAAGTAATTTTACAAGCACTTAGCGGTACGACTGCTCTGTCGAGCGTTTTGGAGCACATTTTAAAGCAACCTTTGTGTACCGGAGGTACAATGGGAGATGTGAGGCAATTGTTGACCAGTGTTTTAACCCAAACGGGGTACGAACAGGTGCTTGTAGAAACTACGGCGAGGCTGGTCAGTCTCGAACTGCATGAAGCTTTAAAAAAAACCCTCAAGTAAGTAACTCAATCATTATTACTGTTTAAAGATATTGACTTAGTTATTCTCTATGATTAATCCTATAGTTAGACTAATTAATATTCTTTGCGGCTCAGGGAAGCTAGTAAAGCGCGTGTCGGCAATTCGTTAATTTGTCAAGTCTGCAGGAAGTCTTTAGCCAGTACTGCAGATTACGTTGTGATATTTAGTTGTAATCATACATATCATACAGAATGTCTTAAAGAACCAAAAGCTTGTTACGAATGTCAAAGAACAAAAGGTTGGGCGCATCCTGTTACTGACTTTGTGCCTCCTGCACCTAAAAGTACAAATTCCAGGGTATTGCAGATTTTTATTAACCTTAATTTTTAAACTATTTCAACTTACTTCAAAAACTATAGAATCAACACGACTTCTGAAAAATTATTGTATTTTTTACAGGAAAGAAGACTGGAGCCTCCAGCATTTATGCGGAACAAATTTAGTGAATTAAGACTAGCACCACCAGTTCCTTGGCCTGACTTGGACGACGTTTTATAGTCTAGTCAGAAATGACGTTACAACTCAAGTTATTCCATTAAAAAGTTTATCAAGCCAAATCTAAGTCAATGTTGCATCTTACCACTCAGCCATTTGTACATTTGTATACGTACTGTAGATATTTGTAAATTTATCCATGCACGATGTAAAAAAAATCAAGTGTTAATTAAAGCTATCTCACTCTTTAGTGATGAAGCAGGTTTCAGTTTCCTTCATGTTACATAATTCATTATTCAAATGTATTCTAAAATTGTAAGTAAAGCTATTTTATCAAAGTGAAAAACTTGTTTTAGAAGTCTTTATTGTATAGTTACATTGTTTTTCGAAATCCACTTATCTAATACTATAAGCTAACTGTTAGAAAATTTGTCTTTGGGTTACCAAGTTAATAAACAAAGCTCCACGTTTGAAATTTCATAATTATTTTTATTAGTGTTTTAATGTCTCGTATTTATAAAAATATTGAGTTAAGTTTGCGTTGGAAATAATTCCAATAATAATTTCCAATTCATTTTGTCTATACCATTTGCAAGGTAAATCCTTAACAACACGTTTTTCTCATCTACTAGATTATTACAGATTACATTCCTCCTTACAATAGCTATTAATGTTCAGAGATTATTAGCAAAGTAAAACACTCATTCGTTCTTAGTTTCTATCTTGATTTAAATAAATACAAAATACACAACAAACATGTAGGTGCAAACATAAAAAAAAGAAAAAATCAAAACAAAAAGGAAAAAAAATTACAAAACGGTGGGTGATGTAGTGAAACAAATGTCGAGGAAGATAATGAATTACAGGTGTATGTTTCATTTGGCGAGTTAATAAAAAAAAAAATTTTTTCCAAACAAAATCGATTAATGACGGGGGATATTTTTTCGTGTTCTTTCTAATTTATACATCATCAATTAAATACATGTATAAAAAATTTGCTGCAAAATTTATACACACATTTTGATGCACTTAGTCGGTTTTGCATTTTTTCTTAAAAAAAAAAATTTCTGCCTATGTCTATACACAATACACGCAAATAATTTTCTTGACGAGTATCCCACTTATTCAGCGCTTCTACTTTTGTATCATATTATTTTTGTCATTTAAATAATGTTATATTTCGAACGACACACGCGTAATGTACGTGCGTGGTTATTACAAATGGCATATTTATCATTACAGTTTTTTTTCTCTCTCGGTCGATTTTACACTATAGCTTTGTCTCTTTGATTCGCACTACCACCGAAACACAATTTTATCATAATACTCTTACGTCATCGCGTTTTTTATTGACTTGTTAATTTTAATAACTATTACGCAAGCTATTAGACTGGATCGTCACCTCCTCCCTTTTGACTCTTTTAGCAATGCGTCTCTTCTTCAGATTAGGATTATTCTCTTGTCAAATACTATCATACAAAAACTATAGTATACAAATTTGGAAGAAAAAAACGGTAAAAACGAGATAAATAAATTGCGAAAAATATCTTTTATTTAAACTCGTTTCTATGCATTAAAATTATTGGAAGAAATGAAAAATTGCACTTTAACAAAATTAGAAAAATTGAAATCAAATTATATGTCGGAAAACATCAATGAAAAATATCATTTTTGCACCATCAAAAAATTTTTAAGCTATATTTATTGAGAAAAACAAATCTATATATATTTATATATGTATATGCTTCAAAAAGCTAAGCAAATAAAAAAAATTAGAAATAATTCATTCACACTACACGGGAGATGAAAAAAAGAGAGAAAAAAAAAAAAAAAATAAATTAAACCAAAAAATTGGCGTCTTTGGGAAACTAAGTTAAAAAAAAATTGGAACACCTACACAAACAAAAAATTAAAATTGTCATACTAGTAATAAATAAAGTATCAACAATTGCGGTAACTGTAATGGGGACGAGAGAAGATAATATATTAATTCGAGTCATCCGAAATATGTATTTTTTTTCTTCTTTTTACTGCAGGAGTTTGGAAAATTTTTAAGAACTTAGATGTGTTAATATGTACTTATTCAAGACTCAATTTACACTTTCGTTGTTCAACGAAATGCAGGATTTTCACTTAGTAAAATCTTAGACTGTCGTTCAAGTGTGTACACACGTGTTTGGCGTAAGTCAATCCTATGAGGACTGTTTTCTGTTTAATGACAGATTTATTTAAAAAACTTTTTTTTACAGTGGTATACGTTTTTTTCACACTTGGCGAATATTGAAAAAAATAACTATTAGTTTTTTAGAGGAATGATTATCTATTTTTCAAATTTCTATGTACAAAATTTAAGGACTTAAAACTTACGATCAAGTATGCTTGCACAAATTATACTCATTTAATTCAATGTACAAAAATCGCTGATTAATTGTTAAATTTTTTTTTTTTTTTTTTTTTTTTTTTTTTTTCCAAGATATCACTAGAAGTAGGCAAAAAACGCATGTTTAGTAAAAGTTTACTAGAATGTTGTAGTTTTCATCAATCATTCAAAACTCACATTAACATACAGTCAAGTATTTACAGCATTGACAAGTTTTGAAAGTCAGTGACAAAATTTTCCAAAAAGCTATGTAAGCTCTTTTTCTCTCCTACTATCAAACAAGTATTCTTTTGTTAAAGAAATCGACTAATGTTCAACGTTTGCATCGAAAGTTGACAAGCTTATTGTACTCTACTTTTGGTATGGAATACCATCTTTATACTTGAAAGAGAAAAGAAAAGAGAATCATTACATTGCAAGATCACTGTAGCTCGGTGAGTTTCGTCATTATATTTAAATATAGTGACAAGCCACGGTATGTTACCAAGCTTTTCTTTACTTATTTTCTATTCTTTCTCGCAGGACGGAACCGCGATGTGTTGACGTACATATCAGGCTCTCGCGTACCTATAATTAAACTTAGTTGAGTGTAAGAATCCTCTTGCATAGAATAGTATTGAACCACATGTAAAGGTAAGCACTAATGTAAAGTTCAAAGTCATTATAACGCCATATACAAAAAAACATTGGTCATACAGACATTTGGCTAGCCATTAGTACGGTCTTGAGGTATTTAAACATAGAGATAAAACATTAAGTAAATAACAAGACAATATTTAAATTTAATACTGACGGGTTTATTTTGCAAGTTAGGCAGTCTTTTGTGTTTCCAATAGTTCCGCTTGATGTTTGTTAAAATTGATTTTTTAAACACTTGAATGAAAAGGCTCAGCCGCAAAAACCATTGAAAAAGCAGTATAGGAAAATTCATCTTTTGTCAGCATTAAAATAAAGAAAGTCCATGGATTTAAAAAATGTATATCTCACAGTTACTGTAACTGTACATCATTTTCGATATCGATTATTTCTGGATTTTTCATCATATATTTCCGAGTAAACTAAACACTTAATGTCAATAATTTACGCTGTCAGTGCGCGCACGCAAGTTTGTTCATGAGTAAAAAAAAATACCATGTAAAATGTTGTTCTCCCGTACGTTTTCTTTTTCTCTTTCTGAAAGTTCTTTCACTACTTGTAACTTGAAAAACTGTTAATTTTTCTAGAGTTATTATACTAGTGCAGTCTATGTTGTTTTAAAATATTTACTTATTCTTTTTTTTTTCTTATTATTATTCTTTTTTTTTTTATCATCCGCGTGTTCACGCGAACAAATGAAAGTACGTACATATATCGGCACAAGTATTACATACCAAAATGCTGCGAGCAAATCAATCTTTTTTTTTTCTTTTTCTCTTGTACGTCGTCACACGAGAAAAACGAATGAAAACATTTGTGTAATAATGAATCATTAACACATACGGTCCTTCGTGTTTTTGTTACAACGGTAGAGTAGCTTCTTTAAACTCAATAAAGTATTTCGCTGAAGACCGCTAAAAATCAGCGCGAATACATATTAAACTTTCGCAATTATTCCATTACAGAGATCATAAGATAATTACTGTAGTAAATAAAATTTTTTTCAATGTTTTAATAGAAGGTAATATATCATTCACATTGTGTTTTATTTTACATACGTTATATCTGACTATTTATATATCAAAGAAGTCGTACTGACTCTTATTTACTACAGACTAATACGTAACTTAAATGCAAAAAATGCAAAAGTTCTTCGTTACTTACGAGGTAATCGTTCACGAATAACTGAAGGTATCGTTAAAAACAAATTTGCTTTTCGTGTCTTACATTACCAATTCTGGCTAGTTAAAATATATATAATTACCTAGAGGGAGCGAAAACTAAATTTGCCAGTGAAAAATTATACATAAAAATAGAACAGTAGATTAAAAATAATTCAAGTAAAACGGAGCTCGAAACCGTATCATCCATCCAAAGTGTTCCACAGGCTTTCGAGCATTTCAATCGTTCTTTAACGCAACGCATACTCGTAGAAAGCCACGTGACCTTTTGTTTTGCTTAACGTAGCTCTATACCCTCTCGAGTTTTACTTTTTCGTTCTCTTTCAGTTTTGCATCCCTTACATATTGTATTCTTAAACATTATCTTCTATAATAGCGTTTCATCTTATCGTCGTCGTCACCGTCGTTATCGACTACCAAACTCCGCAACTTAACTATAAAAGAGTGTATAACACAGGTCAAAGCGCTGGATTCACTCCATGGCTTTTATCATAATCATCATCGACGTGGTCGTCGTTAATGTGCTCTCCTATCTGCGCCAGTGACTTCTCGATTTATTGTGGTTGAAACGACGACTGTGATTCGACCTATTGTGATTGCCACCGTGCCGCGGTCGATGGTACGACTGATTATTGTACCGGTAGTAATTATTGTTATTATTACTGTTGGGATACTTCCACTTGTTGTTCTCGAACTCTTGGAATCGGTTGTATCTGGAATCGTTACCCCGATTATTGTGATCATTGTGATGGACTTTAATCTTTTTCGTACGGCCCCGATCATACTCGTCATCATCGTCATCATATCTGCGCTTCACGATTTCTTGTCGCCGATCAGAGTCGATTTCCCTGTCCAAGCGTGCTTTTCCGCCGTCCCAACTTAACACTGTAAATTATCAAGTTAATTTTAGTTTTATGCTTAATTTATAAGTATAAGTGTTACAACATCTGTTGCCATTAAAAAGATAATTTTAGTGTAAAAATTTGATGTTATAAAATAAAGTATAATCCTTACCCCCCATGTTTCCATAGCCATACAATGATGTTTTCTGTAAATGAGATGTACTTTCAGAACGATTATTTCCGTTGTAACTTCTCGAATCTGCTGTGTTGGGGGTCATTGAACGATTATTTGATCTACTGCTACAGCTATGTGAATCATCCCTGAAGAAAAAAAATGATTTTTTTGTAAAATAGAAATGTTTGTACGATTTTTTGGAAAAAATTGATAAGTATCTACTACGAAATTTAATTTTTTTCGTATATAGACAAAATTGTACTTTTAAAACTTTTAACAAGCCAATGTCCAATCAGTGTTGAGAATTGACGATGTTGATAGAAAAGAGGAATAATGTTTAAAAAAATTAAAAAAAACATCAGTGCAAGACTAAATTTTATAATGAAAAAAAAAAAAAAAAAAAAATGGTTAACAAATATTTATGTGCAATCACATGACAAAAAATATCAATGAAACATTATTGACTAAGTTAAGCTATCTATGTAATTCACAAAATCTACATGATGCTAGATACTGCATGTTGCATGTTTGATAAATGTCAAAGTCAACTGAACTTGAGATAGCGTGACAAGTGAAGTAATAATGATATTAATGATAACAATAATAATAATAATAATAATAATAATAATAATAATAATAATACTCACGATACTCCTCTTTTCCACGTGCCAAGCACAAAAACGAAAATAAAACACAATAAACATGACTTACGATAAATTGTCAGAGACTAACCATCCATTCGCCGTAGCGGTAGACGAAGGCGGCGAGCTCTCCTTACTGACTTGCCAACCCTTGTTAAGACCAGCCGAGGTCTTTGCATAAGTCTTCCTGTCTGGAGAATTCGTTCGCGACTTCGACGAGTGCCACTTATCCTTAGATTTATCAGATGAGCCATTGGAGTGCTCTGCTTTACCGTTGTTAATGACATTTTTGGGCGAAGAACCTCGCGATGATGAGCCATTACTGCTACTACTGCGGCCGTTGCGATTGCCGTTGCCGTTTGCCGACACCGAGTCCATGCCGTTCGAGGGCGCGTAGTTGTGATGGTGATTGTTGCTGTTGTGGTTACTGCTTGTGGGCGATCTCGAGGTAGCGCGCCGCGGCGAGTACGCGTGGGAGTTACCGTTTGACTTATTTGACGACCTTGGTGAGGACGAACCGTTGTTTCCAGAGAACTTTTGGGGCTCCTGCTCGTCCCGGAACTTTTTCAAGGTACTGTGACTGGTCTTGTCCTCGTCTTCGCTCGAGTCGCCGTCGTAATCGACCAGTTTACCGCTTTTTGACGTCTCGTTCAGTCTGAAATTCAGCCAAAGTTATTTTTAGAAGGAATACAAATACACATGCCTTATGTATATATATTTATAGAGAGAGAGAGAGAGAGAGAGAGAGAGAGAGAGAAAAAGAGAGCACGAAAAAATGTAGTTATGCCATCCAGAGTTGAACATTCGATTGGACCATTTTTTTGTGTTTTTGTTTCTTTTTTTCTTTTATATTTCAGTTTTTCAGAAATGACGAACGCATGATTTAAACGTTTTAATGTCATCACACTTTTTATTTTTGTATAAGTTACTAATTACAATTCAAACAAGAGGAAAAAAAAAACCAGAGATAAAACATGTGAATCTAATAATATAATCTCCGCGATGCGAACCTATTCTTCTCCAAGTAAGAAGACGACGGCTGCGAACTGAGATGATAGCTGCGCCTCACGCTGCTACTGAGCGGCAATGTGAGGTGCGATAGAGACGTCAGTGGAGGTGAAGGTGGCGTTGAGGTAATTCTGTTTAAGCTGCTATCCCGCGTGAGCGAGCGAGAACCATAAGACGACGTGTACGACGATAGGGGCCTAGAGCTGAGCGCTAATCTCGTGGATGCCGATAACGACGACGAGGAACTGCCCTCGCCGTTTCTTGACGGGGTCAGAGCTCTGCTTAAACTGCCGGAGCCGTGATCCAGCAGCTTGCTACTCGACACGCCGTTTGAGTGCGAGTAGGACGACAGACTTGACGACGGCGATTTTGATAGCGATATCTCGCCTTTCGAGCTGCTCAACTGACTGTTTAGGGCTTGGCCGTTCGCGATGGAGGACGGCTCCATCTCGAAGATCATTATGTAAGCGTTGGTGCTCGTCACACTATTCAGGCTAACTTGGCGAACCTGATTAGCATAATAAGAAACTTGTTAGTATTTTGGTGATGCTTCTTGGTTGTTATTTCAATAAATGGGGATTTATTATTTAATGACGTGTGATAATTTTTTTCTTCTTCTACAGTTACATATGTTACAAGATACACAACAAATACGTACAGCAAAATGAAAAATTAATTTTTTTTCTTTTTTTTTTTTTTATATTATCTGGGGATGTCCCGCAACCAAAAAAAAACAAAACAGAAATTATACATAGATGTATATTCATAAGCGGGCTATACTTACGCTAGAATCATCGAAAGAGAAAAATTTGCCCGAGGACACTTGTGCAATGGCAGTGTAGTGTCCACAATTGACAGAAGGACCCATGTGAGTGACCATCGAGGTGAGCTTGTAGATGACCTTGCTTATGGGCTCACCCGGTTTACGCCTTATGTGAGGACCCATGTCGATGGTCTGCTTGAAACTTACGTGACGCGAAATCTTTCCCCCCATTACGCTAAAACGCTTCAGCTGTAAACACAACACTTTCGGCGGTCGCTCGAGGGTGAACTGCTTGCAGGCAGGTACGCGCCGCTTGCACGATTCGCATTTGTAGTCGTTGTTGTCGAGCATTTCCCGACCGAAGTAACCAGCGAGGGCTTCGTCGATAGTGTTGGCTTTTCGAATATCCAACAGAAGATCCTACAAAATTTAATTTTAGCAAGTTAAAACAATCGTTCCATGTAATGCACGGGTGATTCTTTGTTTCATTTTGTACCTGAAAATGTTGAAAAGTAGTAGAAATGTGTCCGCACTGAAGGCATTTGACTTCGGTTCTAATATAGCCTCCGAAAATTTGATTAATAGGAGTAGTTTCTTTCGAATAACTATCTAATTTAGTGGCCTTGTGTCTCGACAAGTAAGCCTTTTCCATGCCTTCTAAAAGATATCGTAAAAATTCGTGGGCATCTTCTTGCTGTCCGTGTACCAATGTTCGACAAATAACTGAAAATGAAGTAACATAACGCTTGAGTGTTATTGTTGCGTTTAAAAATTACATGGCGATCGTTCACTCACTTTTAAGTTTATCATAAACGAGAAAAGGCCTGATTACTTCGCCAGACTTTTGATGACTGGCAGTTAGAGTCTTTGCCACTGCACACGTAAGGCACTCACCAGCTCCATCTGAAATAAAACGATGTCTGTCTGTTGTTTCCAATAGAACATACAAATATTATTAGTTACAGGTAACTACAAGCTTGCAAATTAAAAGCAGACATGGATGATGTGAGTGTGCCGTAAAAATTGGAAAACCATCAATACAGTAAAACTTGATGATACTCCATATTAATATTTTCAACCAAAAAAACCATTTAGTGCAAAATATGAGTGTGGTTACATACATGTGTGCAGGGTATACGTTGTTATAACGCAATCGTTAGGATTACACATATATTTACACAAATAAAAATAACTACCAGCAACACCGTCATTATACGCCATGCCTGCCACAAAAAAACGTACATTAAAATGGAAAAACATGTATATACGTCATTACCGATTCCTTCGCTGCACTTGCTTTTATGATGAGTGTCGGTTAGGAGCCAATTGACGAGGGCAGGCACGTGAAAGAGGGCTTGTAGCGTGCTGTTGAGGTAACACGTGTTGCCAACGTTTAACATGCCCGCACCGACGGGGAAGTCCTTGGCCCAGCCAAGGCTGATTCTATCGGGCGCATAGAGCACGACCTTTGGCTCAGGTAGCCTCGGCTCCTTGGCTGAACCAGTCGTCTTCGTACCACCGCTGCTGCTACTGCCAGCTCCGACGTCCGTTGTCGTCGTCTTGTCCCCAGAGGAGCTGTTCTCCTGCTTGGGCAGACTGAGGACTATGTACTTGTTTTTCAGGTGGTCTTGGACGGTCTGCCTATAGTTATCGGTCTCTTCATAGTCAAGCTCGGAGCACAGTATGCGCGAGGCACCTCCTGTCAGGCCAGTGATGTTCAGGTCATCTGACGATTTAGACTGACCGGCTACGTCCAGGTTGTGGTGCATAGCCCTGGCCAGTGGGTCGCACACGCTCACTGCAGGCATCTCGTCTGACGTTTTTGTCAGCTTATTTGAACTAGCCACAGTTCCTGGCTTTTCAGTCACCTTCGAGCGATGAAACACTGATAGGCAACCCCTTGGCCTATCTTACCTGCAACAGCAAGCATCACAAAAAATTGTTTTTCTTTTCTTATTTTGCATATAGTCTTTTTGGGATCGCCATTGCAGCTATCTCTTTCTCATTTCTATTCTCTGAGCATTGGATTACTATTCCAACTTGAGCTACTCAAAGGATGTTATATTTAAACAGCCCATTATTCATCATTAAGTAATATGTAAGTACACGACATTTATTTTTGATCTGTTTTTATGCGTCTTCATGTGTACTCCTACTTACATGCAACATCATCCAAGTTCAATTATTAATTATTTTAATGTTTGAATAAAAGATTTTGGTGTGATATAAAATTCAGAAATTCTTGTAACAAGTGAGAAAGTCGCAATAGCTTTGTTGATCGTTTATTTTTGTCCATACATACTCGTTAAAATGTAGACCAACAACATATTCTGGAAAAGTAGCTTTAAAATTAGAAAGTTATAGAGTTAAGAATTAAGTGTAATATAGGTGTTACGTATAAAACTGCAGTAACTTTTTCATTGTGTGCTTATAGTTTTCTGTGATGCAATCGTTACAAATAATAAATATTGCAACATATCTCTTGCATGATAATTCAGTGCTCTACTTTAGGGAGAAATATTCCTTTTGAGAAATCAATAAAAGATACTTTAATAAAACATTAAATCAATTGTGATGTTTGATATCTTCATTTCCATTGTTTCATTACGTTTTGAAATTTGTATTAATTTTCTTGAAAATGATTATTAAGAAGTATATAAAAAAGTAATTATTGAATCAAACACAAATTTAAGGAACATTCAAACATGGTCTCATATGGAGGTGAACTGTTCGAAAAAATGATGCGTTTGACACAATAACAACAATAATCAACAAATTGTAACATTTAAATATGGATTTAACTCCGAAATTACTGATAAATGACAGCGAGCCCATCCTACAAATGTACACTCAGCACTCTGCATGTATCAAAAAAGCAAATACTTAAATAAGTAATTGGAAAAAGTTAGGAATAACGTTCTAAGTACGGCATTTAAATAACTGCGAAAAAAAGAGAAGAATTTAGGAGAAAAACAAACACATGCACGCACGTGTATCATATATGTATACTTTAAAAGTCTACTGCTGACACTGCACGAGGCGGAAGAAACCCTCTGTCTCTCCTCTGCCCTCATAGAGGAATATATAGATATATTGCGCGCATTCATGGCAGCAGTGCTTACATATGTAGTACCCACGTGGTCATGCGGTTTAGCGGCACACACACATTGTCTACCGTACTTACATATATCCACCCACCCACCCACCTGCACATCATTCCAGACATCATTTTGTGAAATAAGGGGAAAGTAAGTACTCAATCTCTTTTTTACTCTCGCCCCAGTGAGTATAACAAATGCGTGTACACCAAATTGGGTACAGATAATAGTATAACACTCACCCCTTTCACGTTGACACTCACCCGGCACCTTGAACGACCATTTAAACGCAGATTACGACTCTTTTTCGGGAACCCACGGGTTACAAGGTACAACTACTCAATTTAAAGGAGAACCGTGGGAACATCAACATTGGGGTATGTTATAAAACATAGATGTGTACCAAAGGGGGAGAGAGACGAGAAAAAAAATTAATATGTGTAGGTATACAGTGTTAAGTGGCGACTCTCGGGGCGAGAGCAAAAAACACGGTCTATCGATCGTCCGGGACTTTAATAGGTATATGTGTGCACGGTTACGTTTACTTTCTGTAAAGTATTATACCCTCCCCCCTGATGGCAGGCAGGGGGAGTAGCAGCAACACGCCTCGACGATGACGAGGAGAAGTGCAGAGAGAGAATTGGCGGCGCCACACAGACGAGACGTATCAATACAAATACGACCCATACTACCAAGGGAGGGCGCGTATACATGTAACTATGATACTCCAAGTTTTTTTTTCAACTCTCCCGAATTTCGCCCCCGTTTCCGAACGCCGCCCATAATATTTAATAGGAGCCAATGTACAACACTCTCCCCTAAACCAAAAAAACCAAAAAAACGTATACCCTGCGCTTCAACACTTTTATTGTGTCGTAACCTCGAGCGTATGAGTGTGTGCTTGTTTGTTTGTTTATTGTAGGTATATATATGTATTGTACCTGAGAGCAGAACAGCCCTGGCGGAGCAGCAGCAGCAGCAGCAGCAGCATGGGTGTGCGGATGGTCAAAGTCGGTGGTTAATCGTTCGCTCGTTCGCTAGGTTAATTATGTACATATGTACATGTATATATATATATATATATAGTTAAGTGCAAAATCTACAGGATCGTCGACGACGACGACGACGACGACGACGACGACGAGGCGTCCGGAAAACTCGGGTCGGTTCGCGCTCTCGACGGCCGCTGCCGCCGTAGCTGTTCATGCTGATGCTGCGGTGGTCTCTTTTTCTTTACGTGTGTCATCGTGCCCCACTCCCCCGCCCACGAATCGATCCGAAATAAACAAAACCCCAATCCGGGAGAACGAGAGAGAGAGAGAGAGAGAGAGAGAGAGAGAGAGAGAGAGAAAGCATCAGAGAGCCACACATCACGACAAGGCTTTTTTTACGCGCGTTCGTGACGCGGGTGGTTTCTCTGCGTTTGTAGTTTGCTCCGATTTAACGACGCTGATGATGATATGATAAAAAATAATCAGGCTGCTGCAGCTGCAGCATCCGCGCGGTGCAACAACGAGATCATCATCATCATTATCATCAGTTCAGTCTGCTGCTGGACGTTATCGGAGCTCGCTCAGTGTTTTCTTCTCCTCATCTTGCGTTCAATACATTTACGTAAATAAGTATATAAGTGTATCTCCGTTGCCGCCGTGCAATAACGCGTGTTCGCGCTTCGCGCTCGCGCGCCCACCAAACGACCTCGAGAGTCTGCGCGCGAATGTTTTCTATATATAGAAACAGTACGTGTGTGTATTGAAGGATTATCTAAAATGGAAATACGAGATATCACTTAAGGCACGACCGGGGCAATAAACTGGGCCTGATTAGGTCCGGATCGAGTGCGCGTGTGATAAGTACCGGGTCAGGCGACGCGACGTGTAATTAGGTGACTTTTAGTCAATTTGTGTACTACTTATCTGTATAGGTACTTACATCAACTCTGAAAGGGAGTCGGTTCAAAACGTTTAAAACTATCCTCCGATTCTCTCTGTATACGTTTTTTTGTTGGTCGCAAGAACAAAAACTATTCACACATCACTTTTCGGATGAAATATTCAAAAAAAAAGAAGTCGAAAATTAGTGAGATTTTAAGTTAATATTCACACATAAAACTCAATAATCATGTAGTATCTGTACAGTTTATTTCAGGATTCCTGATCAGGTCCTGGACAAGTAGCCGAAGGTCAGGTGAACGCATTCGGGACCGGATCAGGTGCCGTACAAAAAAACTGAACTAGTATTAATCAACATTCTAGTCAGGCGATTCCGCATAATGTATTTTTCTATTCAAGAAGGTACTACATGCACATTGCACGTTCTCATTGTTCCGGCCTTATTATCGTTTACTCCCCTGGACTTTGCTCTCCATTTTTGTAGTTTTTTTACGTTGCTTCTTTCTTTTGGTTACTTTCATTTGCAATTGACAATCTCCTTGCAAGTACCTGTTTAGTAATCAAACAAGCAGGCACTCAGATAAGAATTTATTTTAACTTATCAGGGCTCCTCTTTATTACAGTCTGCTTATATTTTGGTTCAAATATTTGTCGTTTACCGTTCTCATTCGATATGAATTAAAGTTCAAAAAGCAGTTTGACTTTGGGTTGTACTCCGGTATTTACAGGTGATGCATTAATGAAAGAGTAAGCAAATAGGGTATAACGACCGCGAGGGACCATTTTTAGAGTGAAATAGGCGAGGAAAAATCGTCCGAAATTCATATGCGGTTAATAAGTAAGAATATATATTATAGTCATTAGGTACCTACTGTCATGAAAATACGACCTCGAAGGGACACGTCTCACAAGTCGTCGTGAATAACCCGCAACCCGCGATTACGCCGTGGTTCGTGGCGCCGCCACAGCCGCCGTCGGTATCGCCGTATCGCGGCATCGCTATTTGCTAGTACGATATCACACACATACACATGTGTGTTAAATCCATACGTACTATATACATTTCTCCTTTCTCGCGAGAGACCGGCTTTTTATTAGGTAATACACCTATCACCTATGTATTGAGAGATTGCGCGCGCGCGCGCGTGTGTGTGTGTGTGTGTGCAATTGTATTTGTGACAACACGGCATGAAAAGCGCCACGAGAAAATTTCATAGCAATGTAAATTGTTTGATTGATCAAAACAATCAATATCAACAAAAGCTCTCTTACAATTTAAAAGCCAAATTTGGAGATCTTTAACTTACACACATACACATACACATACACACATTATAGGCAATGAGAAAAGGTGTACATCGATACTTTGCCAGGCGCGCGGCCAAACGCAAGAGTTGCCGTTCATCGTAAGTAGAAGAAGGTAGGGTAAGTATATCGACGTTTTGCTGCACTGGCTGCACACTTGGACTGATTTTTGTGCATTTGAGTAACAGCTAGAGGCTGTCGAAGGATGAGAGCGTGAAGGGCAGAGTAAAAAAAAAAAGGGGGAAAACAAGAAGGGGAACGGAAGCACAAACACAGCGTGCATGTCCTTAAGGGGAGAGATGGGTATACGTTGCTGCCTCCACGCAACCTCGACGTGCATGCTGTTGGGTGTAAAGCAAGGGTATAATATAGGTTCCGAGTCTCCCTTGCAAGGAGACCAGAGGAGACGACCTTTATTTACGCTCGCGCATATTATGTATACACATAAGTAAATATAAATAACGTGCAAAGCAGAGGCAGAGGAGCGTCTGCATTGAACCCTCTCGTAAGCGCGCGAGCAGACCGACCGCGTGTAAGTATCTATCACCACCACGGTGAACTCCAATATGAGCATAGATAGGTTACTTGGTGCCTACAGGATAGAGCCCTACTGTACTGCCTAGTAATCTTAGTCGGTAGAGCGGAACGAGAAACTTTTCGTTTTTTTTCTCCACCTTCTCGAGCATGCTTAAGTATAGTCTCTACAGAAGGAGAGGTACTCACCTTACATCCGGTTTTTTCGGCTTGGCAGCTACAAGTACAGCCCGACAGCTTTGTCTCCTTGGTGCCCACAGGAATTCACGTATACGTGCACGTACATAAGACAGGATCACGAGTATCACGACATCACGACAACAAGACACATTAGATTTATCTATTTAACACTGGGCGAAATTTCATTGCAAAAATTGTAATTACACGCGCGTGCGCATGTGTGTGTATTCGCGGTTATGTCGTCGACGTTGTATTTTCTCTTGCTCGTTTCTTCTTTTTGGTAATGCTGTTTTATAATACACACAACCCGGTAGTAACTTACGTGGACGAACGGGACCACCCGCGAGAGAGCACCAAGAAAAAAACGAAACCACCGAAAACTAGGGGCAAGGGCAAAAAGGGTGACGATGACGGCCTCAGAGATGAAAACGTGGACCACGATGGAGTCCGAGTGCGCGGGGCAGGAGGGGGACGCTACCGGCGGCGGCGGTGATGCCGCTCGGGGCTCCCTTCTGCGGCATACTCACCTCCGCCTTCTTGTGGTAGCCGTCGTTGTCGTCGAAACTTTTGTCCTCACTGCGTGTCGTCTCCTCCGAATTATTACACACGCACTCACTGATACATAAATACACGTACCGGCTACTCTCTCTCAGGAGTAGCCCGAAGGCACAAGGAGGACACCCGCTCGAAAAGACACACGCGTGCGTGCTACGGCACAGCAGCAAGCCGGCAAGCCGTGCAAAGCTCAATATGCTTGGCCTGGGCTCTATCTATCTCTTCTCTCTTTTCTACGCCCTTGCAGGGTATACACGCGCGTGTCGAGTGTCGAGACTGTCGAGTCGATTGTGAATGTGGACAAAGACACCGGAGTTTCGTTTCTCAAATTCTCAGTGAAGAAAATTGTCGCACACACCATGTGCACACTACGAGAGCTATCAGGGCGACGGCGACCTGAATTGAACTAATAGGTACTAGGTATTAAGTATTCTATCGAACCTAAAACGCCGGAACTCGAAACTACTTGGTTAGACTGTTCCCTGCAGCCGCCGCATTTCGCTGCCTCGTACGCGACACTTTCCTCCTCTCCGAGCTTTTGAGGCTAAGGCTAGGGATAACCTGGGGATGTTTTTCTACTCAAGGTTTCCAAGTTGGTATGTTCCAACATAATCACAAAAGTATAGCTTATTTTGGAACAAACGGCACACCACCACCAGACTGGCGCGAAATTCAAATTTTAAGCTTGTTCCAAAAGACGGGCTTAGAATAATAGCGTTCGCCGTATTTTTTACATTGTTAGGTCGTTTCTTATTTTTAAATTTAAAAAATATTTTATACAAAAAACAATGTTTTATTCAAAATTTTTACACAATGTAACAAAAATTTTACAAGAACGTTGCGATAATAATAATATCAGTTAACTGTGTAGAGCTTAACTTGTAAATATTTTTACTAAAAAACTACAGAGTGACTTTTGTACATAATTTTGAGTCCCTCACATTTTAATACGTTATTTGGTTGACTGTCAAAAATTTTATTTACATGAAAAATAAGTATTTCATTTTCATTGCTTAACATCATATCTTTCAAATCAAAATAAAAGTAAAAAAATTATAGAAACTCAATATACATTATATAAATAAAAATCTTGTAATGCACAAGAAAGCCATAAAAAAGATTAAACGCCTCATTTAAAATTGTATTGTTTTTTTTTTTTTTCCATATGAAACAGTATTTTGTATATAAAACTATTACGTATTTGAATTACGAATAGCAAGTACATCAACCTTACATATTTATCAAGTTAAAACCCTAGACTAAACCCAAGCAAATTATTAGAAAAAAAATAAAAACGTAATCTCGCGAAAACTACGCCTTTGTCATAAGAGCCGTTAGGGCATTATAGGGTTTACTCTAGGGGATTCTTATACATTATCCAATCCCGGATATGGATAAAAACAAATTAAGACAAGGTATACCTGAATTTTATTATATTTTATCATAATGTTTTTAAAAATAGCTCGAAATATAGCTATGTATAATCTAGTACGCTAAGTTTTGCTGATGTGAATTTTCGTAAAAAAAAAAAAAAAAAAAAAAAAAA